CGGCGCGAAGCTCCGAGGGAATGCTGAGACCGCTGCACCGCTGTCCCAGTTGAACTTCATCCAGTCGTCCTGCGCGAAGGGAGAGAGGTCGACCGCTGCTACGCCGCGGCCGCTGCCGCCGGCGAGCTCCAGGCAATCCAAGCTGCCCATATCCAGGGCGGCGACCTCCGCTTCAGGCTCCTCCTCCAGGCTGCCTGCAGCCTTGCCGCCGGCCTTGCCGCCGCGGCCACCACCTTTACCACCAGCGCTTGCCCCCGTTGCGGATCCAGTTCCAGCCCTCGTACTCGATCCCTGCTCTTTCCTCCAGCATTCGGATGCCTTGTGGCCCCATCTCTCGCAGTTCCGACAGTAGCCGTCGAAGCGCACGCCGGTGCTTCGGGGTGCCGTGTGCCCGGAACCACGGCCCGAACCCGTCGGGGATGTGCGGGAGCCTGAGTATGATCCGCTCGTCGATTTGCTCTTCCCCTTCGTCTCCTGGGCCTTGCCTTTCCCTTTGCTCTTGCCGTCCTTGCCCTTGCCTTTGCCTTTTCCTTTCGGGGCTCCGAACGATCCGACGTCCATGTCGTCCGGATGGTGCGCCCGTGCGCGGATCGATGGCTCCTTGATCTTCACGCCTGTCCGAGCCTCCACGATCGTCATCACCTCGTTCAGACTGTCCTGGAACGTTACGAGCCGATGCTTGCTGAGTACGAGGTGGTTCTCGATGTCCTGAGGCACGAGCATCTCGAGGGCCGCCATCTTGATATCCTCCGGCAGCTCGGCCAGTCCGTCCTCTCCTTGGCGGCGTTCGTACTTGCCTATCTGCTGGATCCATTTCTCTAAGGCGGACCCCAGCTCTTCCGCGTTGCACTTCGGAGGCGAGATGATCGATCTCAGGATCAGCCTCTTCCTCGGACCTGTCGTCGGGTCCCACCTGCGGTGAAGTTTCCGCCAGGCCTCGAGACCGTTCCCGTCTGGCGCGCCCGTCACGAGGTCGTTGCTCTCGCTGCCGTCCGCCGTCGTGCTGATCAGCGCCGCGTACAGCTGGTTGATCTTGGTCACCAGCTCTGGTACTCCTCCGTGCGCCTCCTGTGCCCCTTCGATCGTCACGGGGCGTTCGGCTTCTGCCGCCCACCGGAGAACAGGACGGAAGCTCTCTCCGTACACGCCTATCACGTAGTTCTCCATCTTGCGGTTCCAAGCTCCGAACTTCTCCTGATCGTCGCCTAGCGTCGTGGGCTTGCCGATCCCCTTCGTGTCGACGAGACCTGGTGCGGCTCCTCCCGCGTGCGTAGCTCCTCGGATCTGCTCGCCCATGCGCTCGATCGCCTGCGGAATCGCCGCGAGGCCTCCGGCTACTTGTTGCTGAAGCCGCTGATTCTCGTTCTCGAGCCTCCTCATCTCGTCGACGGTCTGACTCATGCGGGCTGCGAACTCCTGCCTCAGTAAGTCGAACTGCTGCCGAACTTGCTCGTCCATGTTTAATTGCGTGCTTCCTGGCGAGCTCCTCCTTGCGTTCTGAGATCCCCTGCCTCGTACGCTCGAGATCTATGATCTGATCTAAGACCTCCTTCTTCGCCTCCTCGATTGCTCCTGACGAGTTCTCCGAGGGATGGTCCTCGATGTACGCGAGGTCGTGCAACTTGTTGCCCGTGTCCTTCAGGCCGTGTTTGAACTGCAACTGTCGTCTTCGATTCTCAACAGCTGCGTCACTCCTCTTGCCGCGCCTGCGGCCGCTCTTCGGTGGTCTCCTCTCAACCTCTGCCGGTGGTCCGGCCTCTGCTGTGCTCGGTGCGGCTGATGCCGCTCTCTTCCAGCCTCTCGCCTCGGGCCACGCGCCCTGCCAGCTCGCCGTGGCGCCGCGCGCGCCGCGAGGCCCTGGTGGGTCGCAGCAGTGAGTGGCCAGCTCACGCTACCATGATGAGATAATGTGTTGATTAGCAACAAGATCTCTTTTCATCTTGAGCCAAAATGGGTACACGGAGGAGGGTGTCATAATCACCGACGAAAAACCAAAGGTACCCCCAAACTACACCAGCAAAAAAGTCAAGCAAAAGTCAACAAATAGTCCCCAGACTATTTATTTTTATCACTTCTGTGGATTTGTTATTCCTCGTCGAAACCTTTAGGGGGACAGGCCGACTTAATATTGGGCGCCCGAGTTATCCGGGGTAACTCGGGTCCGGGGTAACTCGGGTTTGGATTCCCGAAAAAGGAGCCCGAGTTATCCCTGGCCCGAGTTACCCCTGATGATTCGGGGCTCTGGACGCCCGAGTTATCCGGGGTAACTCGGGTCCGGGGTAACTCGGGTTTGGATTCCCGAAAACCGAACCCGAGTTATCCCTGGCCCGAGTTACCCCTGATGATTCGGGGCTCTGATTTAGGGGGGCAGGCCCGACCTAATATTGATCGAAAAGGCGCCATGGCACGGCTGCCTGCAGAGGCGGAGCGGGTGCCGCCCCCCCGCCCCCCCCGCGGCTCGGCCCGCAAAGGCCGGGCCTTGGAGGCCTGGAACTGGCCACCAGCACCACAACAGGGGGACGAGGAGGGAGGACGAGGAGGGAGGGGGACGAGGAGGAGGAGGAGGAGGAGGAGGAGGAGGAGGACGAGGAGGAGGAGGAAATGGCCACCAACACCACAACAGGGGGTCTGCCTCCACAGGGGGAAGACGATCCTAGATTTCGGTGCTGGTGGTAATAGTTCGGCCACCCTGGAAGCCACAGTATCACCACCATCGCCGAGGTCGGGATCTTCTTCCCTCGGTGGAGGCACACCGCCGAAATCGGTGTTGGTGTCAACCTCTAGGCATGCGAGAGCCAGGCTGTCCTCCCGATCCCCTGGGCCGAAGAAGGGGAAAGCACACAAAGACAGACTTCCGACGCGCCGCGCGGCTTCCTCGGTTCTGCGCCGGGGCCCCCGCGGCGGCGCCATGTAGGCTCCGCGCGCCAGGGAGGGAGGCCCAGCGCATGCAAGTAGATCCGCGCGCACCGTCGAAAGTTTGTGTTTACGTGCTCTGTCTCTCTCGAACTGGCCTCGTCGAGGTGCCGAGGCTCCCGGGTGCAGCCCGGGCGCAGCCAGGCTCCCCTCCCTCAAGCAGGGGCCGACCGTCACGCCCTCCCACAAGCCCACCGCGCACCCGAGCACGTCTGAAGAGCAAGCGCCGTGCCCTCAGAACAGAAACCCGCCGCGTGAACACAGCACAGTCTCAGCCAGACATGTGCTGGGAATTTTGTGGGCCCCGGAAACGGCAGGGCCGTTTTTTCACCGTTTCCAGAAAAATGCCCCTTGAGAGTGGAAACGGCAAAAAAACGGCGACCAAAAACGGCACAAAAAACGGCTCCAGGATTGGAACCGGAGCCGGAACCGGACAAACAACGGCGACGGAACCGGTAGAAAAACGGCGTCGGAACCGGCAACAAAACGGCAAAACGGAACCGGCCAAAAAACGGCCCTGTCGCTTCCAGGGCCCACTAAGGCTGGGAACATCTCGTGCAGACCACTAGAGCTTTTTCGAGTACTCGTCGGTGGGCCCATAGAGGCACGCCAGGACGCCTCGCCCCTGCTCGACTGCCGAAGCCCCCGGCCCGGCCGAGGTGTCACGGGGCCGTTCCCAGCTGGCGGGCTGCCGGCTGCTGGCACTCCGGGGGCGGCCGTGGCGGCGGGTCGGGGACCTTCTGACCTGGGTCCATCCAGGCCCCGGTCAGTCAGGCCTGCAGGATAGCCTGCAAGCTCCTGCAAGCTCCTGCACCCACGCCCAAAGGTCAGTGCGAAGGATCCTGCAGGACCCGGGTCAGTCAGGCCTGCAGGATAGCCTGCAAGCTCCTGCAAGCTCCTGCACCCACACCCAGAGGTCAGTGCGAAGGATCAGGACCCTGCAGAAAATCCTGCACCCAAGCCCGGGCCAGTGCAACCCTGGCCCTGCAGGCTCCTGCACGATGGGGCGCTCTGGCTGACCCCCGTTTGCACGGACCCCCGTCTCTTGAGGGGGGGAGGGAGGAGGACGAGGAGGGAGGGGGGGAGGAGGAGGAGGATGAGGAGTCGGAGGAGAAGCAGGCAGGAGGAGAAGCAGGAGGAGGGGGGGAGGGGCGACCGTCCGCGGTGGCCCACGCGGGGAGCTTACGCGCGATTGCCGGCGCAGCCAACCCAACTTGTTTCCGACGTGGTTTCCTTGGGAGGCCCAGAAGTTCGGGGGCGTCCCATAGGGGGGCGTCCAGAGAGGGGGGGGGGTGGGCGGCGCACATCGTGGCCGGCGGCACGTGCGCGGCCCAGGGGGGGGGGGGGGACGTCCTGAAACAAGACAAGGCGCAATGCCATCTGGGGAGATAGCATGGCCCCCGCCATGCAACGACTTCCCCCCTAAATAAAAAAGGCCTCCTAGATGGGGGTCGGAGTAGATGGGGTCGGAGGATCGCGCCGCATCGCCGATACATCGGCGATGCAGCGGCGTTGCATCGGCGATGCATCGGCGATGCACCGGCGATAATACATCGTCGACGTGGGCGATGCATCGGCGACGTCGGCGTGGAGGGAATCGGGCTCCGCATCAAGCCGCATCGCCGATGGATCGGCGCTGCGGCGCGACCCTCCGGCCCCATCTGCTCCGACCCCGTCCAGGAGGCCTGGAACACGAATCCCCCCCCCCTCTGGGCCGCACCCGAATTTGGGGGGCCCAGAAATATACGCTCGAGGTCTGGGTGGCGGAAGCAGCTGCGGCGCAGAGAGAGGAGGAGAGAGGAGGAGAGAGGAGGAGAGAGGAGGAGAGAGGAGGAGAGAGGAGGAGAAAGGAGGAGAGAGGAGGAGGAGGAGGAGGAGGGAGGAGGAGGAGGGAGGAGGAGGAGGAGGAGGAGGAGGGAGGAGGAGGAGGAGGGAGGAGGAGGAGGAGGAGGAGCAGGAGGAGGAGGAGGGAGGAGAGGAGAGAGGAGGAGGAGGAGGAGACGAGGAGGAGAGAGGAGGAGGAGGAGGAGGAGGAGGAGGAGGAGAAGAGGAGGTGGAGGAGGAGTCACCCGGCAGGCGCGCGGCTCCCGCCGCCACGCGCCCTGCGCCGACTCCAGCGCCCTGGCGAGGCGCCCGGTCTGCGCCTCCGTGGCGGCGTGCGCGTCCAGCCGCTGGGAGCTCTCCCTGCGGGGGGGGCCCACGCAGGAGAAGAACAGCGAGGAGGACAAGATCTCTTTCTCTCGCTCTCTCTCGCTCTCTCTCCCTCTCTCGGACTATCTCTCCCTCTTGCTCTGTGTATGTTTGTGGTTTGTTGTTGTTGTTGTTGTTTTATTTTCTCTCTCTCTCTCTCTTCTCATACACATACACATGTATAGCTATACATGTATAAACCCTGCCCTCCGATATGATTATACAAATAAAATATAAATGTATATGTGCTCATTTAGAACCCCACATTTGTGGGCGGATCAAAATGGGGTTGCGGGTGGGTCGCGGGGGTCAGGCGGGTGGGTCAGGCGGTGTGTCGCTGGGTGGGTCGCACGGTGGGTCGCGGGGTGGGTCAATGGTGGGTCAGGGGCGGGTCGCGGGCGAGGGCGACGACATCAACAACCACAACAACAGCAACAACAACAAACAACAAGCAACACACAACAGAAAACACACAACACAACAACAAACGACACACAACAAACAGCAAGCAACAACCAGCAAACAACAAGCAACCCACACACACAACACCAACAAAAACACCAATACCAACACCAACAACACCAACACCACCACTAACACCATCAATAACAGCAGCAACAACAGCAACAACACCACCACCACCAACAGCAACGACACCAACAACAATCACAACAACAACACTCACAATCACAATCACAACAACACCAACAACAACAACACCAACAACAACAACAACAGCATCAACAGCAACAGCAACAGCAACAACAACAACAACCACAACCACAACACCAACACCAACACCAACAACAACACCAACAACAGCAACAGCAACAGCAACAGCAACAGCAACAGCAACAACAGCAACACCAACACCAACACCAACACCAACAACAACAACAACAACAACAACAACAATTACTAGCACGTGGGGACACACCGTTCTCACCAGTGCCAGGGTTTTCATAGGAGGCGGGCAATACCCCCACTTTGTGGGGGGGCCGGTTCAAGCTCTACCAAATTTCCAAACGACTCTTCGCCACCACCCACACCCAGCTTCCCGCCCTATGACGTTCGGACACTTCACTTCGTGGCATGCGGACGACCGTGGCTACTATTCAGGGCCCCGCGGCCGACGACGACGGCGTGCGCGCGCGAAGAAAAAACGAATGTGTCCCGCATGGTATTATTTGACAGGGATGATGGCCCTGGCAGGTGCGCAACCGTTGTTGCAGAAGTTCGAAAAAGTTGCTCGCAAAAGCCCGTTTGACAGAAATGATTAAAAAAGTGTTGGGTTTCCTACGAATCCGCAAGAGCGCGCGGGATGAATTTTGACATTTTTTTTTGAAAAACCATTGGTTTTTTGATGTTGTTATGTTAAAATCGCTCCGAACACTAAGCTTTTGGAAGGATTTCGTCTTGCGCGCGCGAATGTCCACTTTACCTTATTTTTTGCAAGGGATTCTTGAAGTTTGGTTATGTTAGAACAAGAAATGTCCACTTTAGCTTATTTTTTGCAAGGGAAAACCGATCGTAACAACACAACCGGATCTGGATCACATCGTTTTACCTGAGACTTCCTCACGAAAATGATGAAAATGAGGCTGCGGCCTAGGCGCGGCGGGGGGGTCGCGCACCAGGGGCCCCAACAATAATTATTCTTTGGAAGAAATAATGTTCAACAACAACAACAACAATCATTTAAGACTGGGGACACTCCGTTCTCACCAGTGCCAGGGTTTTCATAGGAGGCGGGCAATACCCCCACTTTGTGGGGGGGCCGGTTCAAGCTCTACCAAATTTCCATACGACTCTTCGCCACCACCCACACCCAGCTTCCCGCCCTATGACGTTCGGACACTTCACTTCGTGGCATGCGGACGACCGTGGCTACTATTCAGGGCCCCGCGGCCGACGACGACGGCGTGCGCGCGCGAAGAAAAAACGAATGTGTCCCGCATGGTATTATTTGACAGGGATGATGGCCCTGGCAGGTGCGCAACCGTTGTTGCAGAAGTTCGAAAAAGTTGCTCGCAAAAGCCCGTTTGACAGAAATGTTTAAAAAGTGTTGGGTTTCCTACGAATCCGCAAGAGCGCGCGGGATGAGATTTTGACAATTTTTTGTTGAAAAACCATTGGTTTTTTGATGTTTTTATGTTAAAATCGCTGCGAACACTAAGGTTTTGGAAGGATTTCGTCTTGCGCGCGCGAATGTCCACTTTACCTTATTTTTTGCAAGGGATTCTTGAAATTTGATTATATTAGAACAAGAAATGTCATTTTCTATTGTTTTTTGCAAGGGAAAGCGGATTACAACAAAACAACCGGATCCTGTACACACCCTCTTTTCTGAGGCTTCCTCACGAAAATGATGAAAATGTAGCTGCGGCCTAGGCGGCGCAGGGGGGGCGCGCACCAGGGGGCCCAACAATAATTATTCTTTAGAATAAATAATGTTCAACAACACACCACTACTAACACACACACACACACACACACACTACGACAACACCCAACCATCGGTTTAAGGCTGTTCGTTCATAAATGATCGAGGTCCCGCTAACAAGTATGTTACAAACCCTCGATACCCGCCCTCGTCGTCTTCTATCGTGCCCCTTTTTGGAGGGTCTACCTTCTTCCCTGCAGGCCGGGCCTCGGCAAGCGGCGGGGCGGGCGTGGACCGTCGGCCTGGCAAGCGGCAGCGCTGATCGGCGGCAACCCGACCCCAAAAGGGACGGACAGGGGTCCGACCACGACGACGACGACGTCGACGACGATGATGACGACGATGACGGCGACGACGACGGCGACGAGCGAAAGCGAGAGCGAGAGAACGAACGACAGCATGGCCACGAAGGGCGCGAAGTAGGCCACCAAGGGCGACAGCGGGGACACGAGTGAAAAGCGTCTGGGGCCACGAAAGGCGCGAACGAGCGGGGGCCACGAGGGGCAGATACCGCGGGGCCACAGAACACAACGACGGGGCCACCGAGGGTAGCGACTGGGCCACGCAGGACCGCGAGGGGGCAGAGAGGGCGACAGCGGGGCCGCGAAGAGCATGCACAGGGGGCCACGACGGGCGCGAACGAGCGGGGGCCACGAAGGGCAGACATATGTGGAGCCACGAAGGGCAGCGAGGGGGCCACCAAGGGCTGCAACGGGGCCGCGAAGGGCAGCGAGGGGGCCACGAAGGGCAGCAACGGGGCCGCGAAGGGCAGCGAGGTGGCCACGAAGGGCCTGCAACGGGGCCACGAAGGGCAGCGAGGGGGCCACAATGGGCTGCAACGGGTCCACGAAGGGCAGCGGGGGGGCCACGAAGGGCAACGAGGTGGCCACGAAGGGCAGCGAGATCCCGATTCCTAGATAATATGTGAGGTTCCTAAGCGTGAGCACGACTCCTGGGTGCCTGAGTGTCTGGAGCGCGGCGCTTGAGTAAATTGCGGGAAACTTTAACGCAAGGGCACTATTCTTAAGTACATCGCTAACAAGTCTCTAGCGAGAGCGCGACTCCAGAGTGCCTAAATAAGGATTCCTGGGTACATCGTAAGGAAGTTCCAAGCGAGAGCGCGATGCCTGAATAAAATGCGTGGAAGCCTCGGGCGAGAGCGAGAGTCCTGGCTAAACTTTGAGGAAGTATCAGGCGGGAGACGTTGTTGTTGTAGTTGTTGTTGCAAACTGGGGGCCAACAACATAGTTTGAGCTTCAAGACTTTCCCTGATAAAGAGGATGCGAACTCCGCGAGGGGCACTTTAATCGAAAAAACGATGCGCACTGGGCGAGGGGATCAACAATAATCCCACCAGCCCTCTGGGTGTCGGTGGTTCAGAGCGTTTCCTCTTCCACCCCTCCCTCTTCCCCTTCGGGGAGGGGTTTACCCTTCCCCCTACCCCCTCCCCACTGACCTGGACAGGAGGGGCGGGGAGCGGTCAGAGCGTCCAAAACGGCCTCGGCGAGGAAGCCAAAATCATTGATTTTACTATGGTTTTGGCCCCACGTTGGCCTTCTGAGGGGGCAGGGCTAATTAAAGCTCCCCTCTTCGTTGATCGATTTCCTCCACGATGGCCGCAAGAGGCCCCCAGGATGCCCCAAGAGGCCGCAGGATGGCCCCAAGATGGCCCCAAGAGGCCCCCCAAGAGGCCCCCAGGAGGCCCCCAAGAGACCCCCAAGAGGCCCCAAGAGACCCCCCAGAGGCACCCAAGGTGCTCCCAGAGCGCTCCAAGAGCGATCCAAGAGGGGTCCAGGAGACGATTTTTGGAGCTCCTGGGGGGCGAGCCAAGTTGAAGGACCCTCCTTCGTTGATCGATCTCCTCCTAAATGGCTCCAAGAGACGTCTTGAACTCTCCTCTTGGGCCCTGCGCGCGGGCGGACGGAGCGCCGCCCGCCCGCCCGCAAGGCCCAAGAGCCCACCAAACCGTTCGAAGATACCTCCAAGACGCCACCATGGAGGAGGAAGAGGCGGAGGAAGAGGAGGAGGAGGAGGAGGAGGGGGAGGAAGAGGAGGAGGAGAGGGAGGAGGAGAGGAGGAGGAGGAAGAAGGCGGAGGAGAAGGAGGAAGAGGGGGAGAAGAACAGCTGCCGATCATCGGCGCTCTTCGTTCGAGTGCCTGGTGTAGGATGGGCTGGTGGGGATACGCGAAGCGTCAAGAATTACGTTTCATCCATAGTGGGAGTTTAACAACAACCGGCAACAACAACAACAGCACCAGCAACAACATCATCAACAGCACCAACAACAACACTCATGTCAATCAGGTTCGCTCTGATCTGCACGCGTGCCAGTGAACACGTATATCCCAAACAATCGATACCCGCCCTCTTCGTCTTCGATCGTACCCCCTTAGGGGCAGTTCGTGCAGCGTGTAGTTCGTGCAGCCCCTAAGGCAGGGGACGAGAGGACGGATGGAACGAAGAGAAAAATGGGGGAGGGAGGAGGATGGAACACGAGAGAGAGTAGCAGGAGGGGAGTTGGCTAGGAGCAGAAAACACGTGGCAGAACCAGACGGGCAGATCGGGCGGGTAGACCCTCACGGGCGGGTCGGGAAGGCGGGCCCGGGCGGCCAGTTCGAGCAGGCGGGTCGCTGAAGCGTGCGCCCTGCGTGAAATCGCGAGGAAGTCTCAGCGCGATGCCCAAGCAGATCGTCAGAAAGCCCAAAAACGATAGCGCGATTCTTGAGTTCTTGAGCGTCGAGGGTGCGGCGTTTGAGACAACTGCGAGGGAACCCCGCGCGGCAGCTCCGCCGAGAGGGGGGCGGCAGACTGCGAGCGCCCCCGCCGGCCCCCCCCGTCCTGGAGACCGCGCCCTCCAGCTCGAACAGCCTCTCCTGGGCGCGGGCGGGCGCGACGCCCCGACACTGGGAGGGTGGGCGCCAAGCCAGCCTCAGCCCCTCCTCATCCTCCTCCTCCTCCTCTCCTCCTTCACCTTCTTCTTCTTCTTCTCCACCACCTTCTTATTATTCTGATTATTATGTTTCTTCTTATTAATATTATGTTTCTTCTTCTTTTTCTCCTCCTCTTCCTCGTCCTCCTCCTCCTCCTCCTCCTCCCCCTCCCCATCCCCCTCCTCCTCCTCCTCCTCCTCCTCCGCCTCCTCCTCCTCCCCCTCCTCCTCCTCCTCGTCGTCGTCCTCGTCCTCGTCCTCGTCCTCGTTCTCGTCCTCGTTCTCGTCCTCCCCCTCTCCCTCCGCCATCCTCCTCCCCCTACGCCATGCTCCTCTTCCGCCATCCCCCTCCTCCTCCACCATCCTCCTTCTCCTCCGCCATCCTCCTTCTCCTCCGCCATCCTCCTCCTCCTCCCCCTTCGCCCTCCTCCTCCTCCTCCGCCATTCCCCTCCTCCGCCATCCCTCACCCTCAGGCCTTTCTTGCTTGCGGCTCCCCGTGGCGCCGCCGCCCCCGCAGACGCGGCCGAGCAGGGCTGGTGGGCACTGCCCGACGGGCTCCTGCAGCTGCTCGGTGGCCTGCCGCACCGCCGCGATGGCCTCTCCGCGGTCGTCCTGCCGCGCGACACAGCGACCCGGCGCTCCAGGCTTCCCTCGAGAACCGGGGCGAGGCGAGGCGAGTGCCGGAGACGTCCCAGAGGGCGGCCTGCGAGGGGCACTCGCCGTGGGGGCAGCGGGCCCTGCGGGAAGCGGATATCTCAGGTGTGTCGCCGCTCTCCGCCTCCAGGGGCCCTCCAAAGAGCCCCGGGGCTGTCAGCAAACGACCCAAGACCTATGATGCTCCAGCCTATTTTAGCCCTGATCGCCAGAAAGAATTTCGAGCACCAAGGAGGTACCGAAACTAAAGAGGTTTCACGTCTTGGGCCCTGGGAGACACTCGTGCGACACTGTTTCGACACTCTTTCGACACTTTTCTGGGTGCTCGAAGTTATTTCTGGGATGTGGTCCTTGAGTACGATGGGAACAACATAACTCAAGACGAAAAACTTGTCCTGGGGGTAGGCCCCAGGGTTCCGGACCCGTTTCCCTCGGGACCCGTCGGGTGTTGCCAGAAGTGCCCCTGGCCCAAGGTGCCCCCCGCTTTTCGCTCCATTTCCGAGCCCCTGGGTCCCTCTGGGCCTCGTGGGGGGTGCTCTGGAGGCCGCCTGGGCCCCCCCGAGAATCCTGGGGGCACCTTGGGCCAGGGGCACTTCTGGCAACACCCGAACCCGCTCCCCCCCTGCTGAGGCACGGCGGGGGCGCCAGAGCGCCGACGCTCACGGTGCTCCCGGGGGGGAGCTCGCGCCATCGCACATCGGGGCCACGCAAGGCTCGGGTTCGGGGGGCTCGGGTTGGCCTGGCGGGGCCGTCCGAACAATGCCGGGACCAAATCTTCGATGTGACCCGGGCCCCCGCTGCAGGCAGCCAGCGGAAACTGGACCGTCGGCACTCCAGAAGTCGCCCGTCAGAAACGTGTTGGCGAGCCCGAGTCCCGACGAGCTCGAGCCCGACGTTGCCCTTGGAGAAAAGAAGGCCGGACCTGGGCACAGCATGGCCTCCTGATGGCGCTGCTCGGATCAGAGCACAACGCGCGTGGCAGGAGAGCCCAGACTCGCATCGATAAGTCGGATCTGCAATCGAAATGAATCGGATCGGCGGAAATCGGCAGGCTTCTACGCCTCCAATAAGCAATCGGAGCCCGAATCGTAGTCCCGAGCTGGATCGAATCGGCCTCGATAGCAATCGAAATCGAACCGAACCGACCCGGAGGAATCGAAACGAGCCCTGCCCCCCCCGGCAGGTACGGTACCCTCCCAGCACCCTCTGCGAGGGCCCTGCGGCGCGCGCGCGGCGGGTGCGGGACTGGAGGACGACGGAGCGAAGCGAGGAGCGAGGCGCGACGCGAGGGAGAGCTCCAGGCGGTCCAGTCAACCCGCGTAGTAAGGATGCGCGACAAGGATGCAAGGGCCTTGGACGCCCATTTCAAAGCCGTTCGAGCGGGGAGCGGCCAACGACAGTGGCCAAGGATGGACCGAGGAGGCTAGGATGCAAGGGTATCCTTGGGTAGGTTACCCATCCTTCCTTTGCGGGTTGACTGTAGCCAAGGTCGACAGCATTCGAGGGGCAGCAAGAAGCATCAACTCTCGGAGGTCCTGGCGGGTTTCTCGGTTCGGCGCTGGAGCCCCCACCCCCCCTGGCGGCGCCGCCCCTGGCGCTCTCCGGGCTCTGGAGAGGGGGGCCCGTCGCCAATCCCAGAAATCAGCACGGACCTCCGAAACGTTGTGTTGTGCCATTCGGTGCTTGTGCGATTGCCTGTTCCTCAAATGCTGTTCACATCGTACTTCAGGGCTACCTCCCAGATATAATGTCGAACACCCCCGAACAATACCGAAACGGCGCCTGCCCGACCCGCTGGCGAAGTGTCGATCGAGAACCGTGTCCCCGGGCCCGACACATGAAACACCCTCCGTCTTCGGTACCTTCCTGGTGCTCGAAATTCGCTTTGGTGGTCAAGGCTAAAAAGTAGACCGGAGCGTCATCATCCTCGAAGGTTGGCAGCCTACCGCCAACACCTTGTCGGTACTCGTTGTCGCTCCCCCTCTGGGGGTCCAGCGCAGATCCCAAAGAAGTCGTGCGAGGAGCAGCGAAGAGGTCGGGGTGCACGCAAGGGGGGGGTCCCGAAGGCGTGCGCGAGGGGGCCCAGCGAAACACACAATCCACAGATTGCTCCGGGAAGGCACCAGGAGGCCGCCAGGACGTCACAGGGGCATCCGGAGGCACACGAAGTGGCCTCAACAAGTGCCTCACGAGAGCCTGAGGGACCCCGGGCCGCACTTGACATACACCCTGCGAAATGCTTAAGAAATCATGGGTTAAGACATTCATAGTCTCAGAACTTGAATAAAACCCCAACATGTCTATTAAAATCTTAAGATTTACATTGAAACGTGAAGAATAATCGAGACTCTGGCCGAAAACTCAAGTTTTCTTAAGCATCGCCTAAGGTGTAGAAGCCTATGGTTTTTTTTGCTGCGCCAGTGGCTTCTCGCGCGTCTGCGGTCAAAGTGTCGTCAGGAGGGCTGTCGAGGGCTGTCGAGACGAGCCGCCGAAGCCCGGATGGGGCCCTCAACTGAACCCACGGCGGCCCACGTCTGTTCCAAGAGGACGCTCAGAGAGACCAAGACAGGCCAATATTAAAGGGGCCCTGGGACACACAAATAAATACACACAAATAAAATGAATCCCCATATTTTCCCATACTTCCTGGGTTTCTGTCTTCCCCCCCACTTCACATATTTTCCCATATTTTCCTGGGAATCGACTATTAATTGTGTCTGTGTGTGTTTTCCCCCTCCTGAAATATACAGCGCCAACGTGGCGACTGGTGGGGGGTGCGGAGGGCTGCCTGGGGCTTTGGCCAGATTTGGGAAGAATGCTGGGACCATGCGAGCCAACCTGGGACCATGCGAGCCAACCTGGAGCCGAGACCCCGCCGAACAGCTGTGGCACAGCTCCGAACGCGGAGTCCTCGTCGGTTTCGGCTCGGGCTTCGGCGCACGCCCCAGAGAGACGCAGGTCGTCGCGGATACTTGGAGCACATGGGCACCGGAAACAACGGTGACCCTGACCAAAACTGAACGCGGAAACGTGGGTGCCGATCCGTCACCGTCCATCTTGGTCACCGGCGATTCGTGGAGCATCCTGGCATATCGCCGACGGAAGGATTTGACCGTGACCAGGACAGGCGTCGACACGATCCCACGGCATCTTTTCAAGGGCAACTCAGAGATGGCCTCGCATGGCCTTGCGAACCGGCGCGAATCGAAAGACGCTCGTCGACGCAACAGCCGGCCCGTATCATACGAATGCGCGATAATGGTCCAAGGGCCTTGGACGCTCATTCCGAAGCTTCTCGAGCGGGGCACGGCCAACGAACGTGCGAGGCACGGATGCAAGGGTGATTACCCTTTGGAAGGTTGCCCATCCTCACTATGCGGGTCGACGCTAGGTCGTCGATAGTCGACGCCAAACCAGCATGTTATCCCATCGCTGACGTGGCGCCGGCGCCCGCCAGCGCAAAGGAAGAGCTGGGGAGCAGGCCTGGCTGCGGCGCCCGCTCTCGCAGGCCCTCCTGCTCCCAGATCGCCCCGCCGCCTCAACATGCTCTTCCGTCTCCACCTCCGCCTCCCCCCATCGTTCTCATCTGTCCTCGCGGCGCCCCCCCTCCCCCGCCGTCCACGCGCATCCCTCCTCGCCCGCGCGTCCCCTCCCCTGCTCGTTCTGCTCTGTCTTCTGCCGCCCGTCGTCCTCCTCCACCTCCTCCTCCTCCTTCTCCTGCTCTTCCTCCTCCTCCTCCTCCTCCACTCAGGTGCAAACTTTTTATGTTTCTTATCGAGGCTCGACCATCGACTGCATCCGAGAGTTCTTGCTTGTTTGCTTGCTTGCTTGCTTGCTTGCTCCTCTCCTCCTCCTCCTCCTCCTTCTCCTCCTCCTCCTCCTCCTCCTCCTCCTCCCCCTCCTCCCCCACCCACTCCTCCTCCTCCTCCCAGTTCTACTCCTCTTCCTCCTCGTCCTAGTCGTCTTCTTCATCCCTTCCTCGTCCTCATTGGCCAGGAGGACGGCCGTCGCCTTTTCTCGCGGGCATGGGCGCCGCCCCCAGCGCGGCCCGTCGGAGCATGATGCCGAGCTCCTTCGGGCCACATTTTTCACGCGGCATCTCTTCTTCGCGAGCAGGGGAAGCGAGGGATCACGGGGCGGGGGGGGGGACGGAGGGCAGGTACAACAAATACTGCGAATACTGGGCATGTATGACAAAAACAGTCTCCGAAATCACTGCTGAATGAATCAGCCGGCCAAGCGCGATACCATAGCGGGAGGGACGGAGGAAGGGAAGGAGGGCGGTGAAGGAGAGGGGGGCGGGAGGCGGCGCAGGCGGAATGCACAGCGCGAAGGGAGGAAGAGGGCGGAACAGGGGCGAAGGATGGGAGCAGGTAAAGATGTTAGAGAGCATGGACCCCACTCATGTGTTTCTGCCAACACATGTTGTGCAACCTGTGCGGTGGCATCGACGTGGTGCCATCTGTGTGGTGCTACTCGCGTTGGCAACCTTGAAGTCGTAAGCTCTACTGCTCGCGCAATCGCCCCATCCGCCCGCCCGCAACTTGGTCTGCAAAACCTATGCGGCGGCGAGTGCGGTATCTGCATCTTGCAACTTTGTTTTTTTGGCTCTGCGAGACGGGTGTGGAATACATGTAGTCGCCCTCGCCGAGCGTCCTGGGACTGGAAGGCCATGAATAACCACGCACCCTCCTGCCAGCCTGGACAAGATGACACGAAGATTCCTCCAACGGAGGGATTGACGAGCACCTGGGGGTGGGGGAGCACGTCTCTTCGAGCGGCTCGCCACAGACTGGGAGACCCTCAGAACTCATCCTTAAGGGCCTTCGCGGGGAAAGCCTTGACGATGGTCTTGGCCGGCTTCGCCTTCACCATGACGACCTTGCCGAAGATCTCGCGCTTCCCAGCCTTGGTGGCCTTCTTCTGGCGGGTCTTGATCATCGCAACGCCCGGGATGACGAACTTGCCGTTCTTCTTCGCCTCTGTCGTTGCAATGCTCGCCAGAGTGCTCAAGGCCGTGCCGATCACGCTCCTCTTCACCTCGCAGGCCTCCGCGAGCGCCGCCATGAGGGCGCTCTTGGTCATGACCGTGGACTTCATCATCGGCGCCATCTCTGCTGCTTGGGTGAGGGAACAACGATGCTGCCGATGTCTTCTGGTCTGGTTGGCCAGAACTTGAGCCAAAATGGTGATGATGGAGCCAAGGTCATGTATACTGCACATCTCCGAGGGGGTACGTCCGATACCGGGAGGGCGGTGGATCCAAACTCTCTCCTAGAACGGAACATACAGGTTACCCAATATATATGTTGTACAAGCTGGGCGGCGACGGGGCGGCGACGTCTGGCGAGCACAGAGCCGCCAAACGGACAATCCGGCCCAGACGACGGGCGGCGACGAGGCGGTGACGGGGCGGCGACAGCGGGCACGGAACTGCCAGACCGACAACCAGGCCCCGACCACGGGCGGCGGCGGGGCGGCGACGGCGTGCACGAGGCCGCCAGGCCGACACTCAGGGCCAGCTCCTTGGAAGAGAAATGAGAGACCGCCCAAATGCAAGCACTGTTCGAGGAGTAAAACATATAATGCACACAGAAGGGGAGAGTGGGTGGGAGGAGGACCAGGAGAGAGGAAGATGCGCAATTGTTCTTCACCTCCATTGCCCCATGCCCGACCTGATAAGCGTATACCCTGCGCCTCTGTGGGCTCCGCATTTGTTTGTTTGTTTGTCGCCATTGTTCTTGTTTCAGCTCCGCTCACAAAGTCTAAGTTGTTGGTCACTGCGCCTGAATCGGTCAGTTGCCTCCTTGTCTACACGAACGCAACAGCTGTGCACCGTATGTCCGACCAGAGTCAACAAGTGAGGAAGGATGAGGGAGGTCCGAGAATGGGTGAAATGAGGAGTTGGGAACATGGGGGAGGATGGAGACGAGAC